CACACAGCATCTGAATTATCAAATGGACTAGTATTAGTTACTGGTGGTGCACTCATTAATAATAGAGTTTTAAATAGCGCTGAGCTGTATGACCCATCAACAGGTATTTGGACAACTACTGGTAGCATGACTTGGACACGATATTCTCACACAGCATCTGTATTGTCAAATGCAAAAGTATTAGTCGCTGGCGGGGGTGCTGATACCTTTGGTACTTGTATAAGTAGTGCTGAACTGTATGATCCATTAACAAGTACTTGGACAGCTACTAGTCACTTGCATGATGCACGATATCATCACACAGCATCTGTATTATCAAATGGAAAAGTATTAGTTACTGGTGGAGTCGATATTTCTACTTTGTTTTCAAATATTACAGAATTATATTAGCTATTCCAAACAAATTAACTTTCAGTTATCTTATGCTTTTTCTTCTAAATAATGCAAATTCCAAACAATTCTTTAGTTAGAAAAAACACTAGCTTGTGACGTCCACTAACTGTTTCCTTCCATATTTTCACTGAATTATCACATACTTTAATATTCGATCCCAAAATAAATAAAATATGTTTGTTTTTCTACTCTTATAGATTAATCTATTATGATTAACAAAACTTACAACTGATACGATAATTTCAACTATCCTTTGACATGTTCTCTTCATTTTGCAGTATAGCTTTTCATAATATTCAATTGTTTTGATAGTATTCATTGGATTCAGAATAATAATCATTGACACGTTTCACTTTCAAAAAGACTTTGAGGTAAATTCATCAATGACATAGATGAATATATCTGTAAATAATAACAACAGATAATTTAAGGGACAATCTATAATCATATCAGATATACGACGTAACGAAAATGAGGATATGAATATGGATGAGTTAAGCAAAATACTGGCATCCAACTTCCCTTATTTTTACAGTAATATGTATTTTAACGAAAGTGAATAAACAATAAGATAATTTCTATATAATATTTGTTTGTGATCAGTAATTATCTCCTTTTGAGTCTTTAATTTATTGATAAAAGCCACTCCAGAAAAATGAAATTAATTAGTGCAGAATATCTTTTGAGAAGTTTATTTAAAATATCAAGACAAAACTGTACATTGGGGTGAACATGAATGAGAATATATCTTCTTCACCAATACCCATCGTCATGATCTTGAGACTGTGGGTGAGGATATTTATGTTCCTTTGACCCATACCCTCAAAATTTTTAACATAATTCATAAAAATGCTATTACACGAAATAAATCTAACAAGAATTTGATTTATTACATAAGAAACAAAGAAATAAACACTACATGTGTGAATAGTAAAAGAGCATCTTGAGAGTGAGTGTGGATGTAAATGAATAATAAACGTGCATACTCTCAGGATAGTTTTTATCTAAATTTGATATATTGAATGTATTTGATAGAATAAAGCGTAGCTGAATAAATGTTAATTTAATATCACTTAATAGTGTTTCATAAAATAGATTAAAATCAGTAACATTAAAAGCATTTTATTTTTAAATATTCTTGTAAACTTTGACGAAACTTTTCTGCACTAACTATTTTTTCTAACATTCGCATTGAACTTTTACCTTTTGTATATGTTATACCATCGAAATGACTCATTATTTTTGACATACTGATTGATTTTTCAACAATAATTGGATGAGTATATGGTTTCGCATCATTCCACATAACTGGAATTGTATTATCAGTTAAGATTTGTAATTTCTTTCAAATCATTTCACATAATTTCCAAATCCTAAATTAATTTTTATTTTTGTAAAATGATATTCTCAATTAAAGTCTAACTGATGAGAATGATCAATTTCGTGAGTTACAGTATTTGCAAACTATTGTTGTTGTAATTTTTTCATCATAGATTATTCGATCTTCATGAGATAAAATTAAACCTGAACTTTTTGTGTCACCTGAATAAAATGAAATAAACTATTTTCAGTTCTTAATATTCTATATCATTGCTGAATTGTATTTTCTGAATGAATACTATGAATGTTAAATGTTGTTGGTCATCAAAATGAGGAAATATTCTTCGAGCTTCTGTTGCTCAAAATTTTGTTGCTAATAGTGTTCTAAACAAAATACAATATTCTTTCCTTTTTATATGTATTTTGAGGATCATAATTTACTCATTTGTTTGATATTTATCTTTAAACAAAACTTTGATAAAATCCAATTCTAGAGTTATTTAAATTAACAACAACTTTTTATATTGATTTATATCGATTCATTGGAAATAAAAAATTATTTAATAAACGTAAACTTATATAACCATGAGGAAGATATTTTTTTCAATATAATAGAATTTGTTCTTCTAATTGAATCATTTCTTTAGGATGATAAATCAATTGTAACTTGTCCTTCCATTATTGTTGGTGTTAAATTTATATAAATATTCTAATTCAAAATCATTAATAATTAAATCATTTGATAAATGTGAATTACATTCATCTTCGATACATTCAGTTGGATTTTATGTAAATTGTTATTGATGTTAGTGTCTCAATTATAGTTATATATTGTGTTCGTCGCGTCAGAAGATCGACCGATAGACCAACAGTGCGAAGAGATCTACAATGAAAAATAATCCATGATATAGGTAAATGATCCAGCGATGAAAATCGACTATTTGTTGATTCATTTAATTCAATATTAGGTTCTAAATTATTCGTTGCAATGTATTGTCGTGTTTTACAATGAATATTATTTATATTTTGTTAATAATGTAAGTCAAAAATGATACAAAATATAAAAAAGAATTTGCTTTATTGTTTTTTTCTTTTTCTTATCTTTATTTATCACTGATAGGAATTTTATGTTGACTGTTATTTATACATACAGTGACTTGCATTTTAATTTATTTCGTAAATTTGCAAGTATTTCTTTAATTGATAAAAACATCTATTCAAAGTTTGTATTGATCAACTTAACATGTGAATTCCTTTAATATTTGAAGACAAATTTCTAATGATAACTCGATGAATACATACATACTAAAATCTCATCATAATTAACACATTTTCAATAAACGATCTGAATGATTTAATTCTTGTCGAAACGTTTTTTTTTGTTAATAACGTATACTTGACTTGAAGATGTTGCTAAACTAAAAACAATCCTCAGCCTCAAAACAATTTAATTCTATTCAAGTTACTCTTTTTGTTCTTTATTTATTACGGGGGATAGTCTCGTGGATATTTAAAAACGTAAATATGTCTGAGAAGCCCATTTATACACATATGTATATGTATGCATTTCCTTATCATTCGGCTTTATCTATTACATTTGAGTTATTGACAGAGTTGTTCTCTGATATACACGTTAGTTACTTTGAAAATAGAACTAATTCAAACATAAGCAAACAAAATATTATTTATAATTTCATTTTTACAATATTAATACTCTCTTTAACATTTTTTATATGAAGATGGGTCGGAGGTAATGCATATTGGAATATGTCCAGCGCACGGTTATAATATGAAAGTGCTTTCACATATTCTCCCATGTTTTTATACACATTACCAATGCTGCTGTATGAAGTAGCCAAATCAGGATGCTTTGAAGGAAGAGTTTTTTGCTGTATTTCAAGCGCTTTTCCATAATATGAAAGTGCTTTCGAGTACTCTTCCATGCTGTAATACACCAAACCGATGTTGTTGTATGAACCAGCCAAATCAGGATGGTTCGAAGGCAGAGTTTTTTGATAAATTTCAAGTGCTTGTTCGTAAAATGAAAGCGCTATCGAGTATTCTCCCATCTTGTAATACACGAAACCGATGGTGTTGTAGGAAACAGCTAATGAAGGATGATTCGAAGGAAGAGATTTCTGAAAGATTTCAAGTGCTTTTTCATAATATGAAAGTGCTTTCGGGTAATCTCCCATCTCGAAAAACACACTGCTGATGTTGTGGTATGAAGCAGCTAAGTCAGGATGATTCGAAGAAAGAGTTTTTTGACAGATATCAAGCGCTTGTTCGCAAAATGAAAGTGCTTTCGAGTATTCTCCTATGTTGATATACACCAAACCGATGTTGGTGTAGGGAACAGCCAAATCAGGATGATTGAAAGGAAGACTTTGTTGAAAGATTTCAAATGCTTTTTCATAGTATGAAAGTGCTTTCAAATATTCCTCTATGTTTTCATACACACTATCAATCTTGTTGTATGAAGCAGCTAAATCAGGATGATTCGAAGAAAGAGGTTTTTGACAGATGTCAAGCGCTTGTTGACAAGATGAACGTGCTTTCGAGTCCTGTCCCATGCTGTAATACACCAAACCGATGTTATTGTAGGAAGCAGCTAAATCAGGATGATTTGAAGAAAGAGTTTTTTGTCGAATTTCAAGTGCTTTTTCGTAATATGAAAATGCTTTCGAGTGCTCTCTCAACTTGTTATACACATTACCAATCTTGTTGTATGAAGTAGCCAAATCAGGATGCTTTGAAGGAAGAGTTTTTTGTCGAATTTCAAGTGCTTTTTCGTAAAATGAAATTGCTTTCAAGTATTCCCCCATATTGTCATATCCCGAACCGATGTTGTGGTATGATTGCGCGAAATCAGGATGATTTGAAGGAAGAACTTTTTGTTGAATTTCAAGTCCTTCTTGGTAACAGCAAATAGCTTTTTTATAATCACCATGACCGTCTTCGACATGCCCCAGCTGATTGTAATAAATTGCTTTTTCACGCTCGTCAGGTGTCTGCTCAAGTAACACGTTATAAAGTTCTTCAGCCTTGTTAAATTGGCCAATTTTAAGCAATAAATCACCCAATCTTTCCCATCCATTATCACCGACAACATCTTCTCGTATGCGATCAGTAAGTAGTCGTAGTTGCCGGTCATCATCCAAAGTTAATTGAAGCTCAATTTGATAAAGTTGATTATTATTCTCGATTTGTTTAATTACACCCACTCGAAAAATGGTGTGCATTGAGAAGAGAATTTCATCTTCTCCTGGAAAACAGCTAATTGCCTTGATGGAAGCAAACGGCACTGATTCCACACGAGGATCAATCAACATCTTAAAAAGAATGCCGACCATGTCTGCAGTTTCTGACGCACTTGAAGCAAGTCCGAGAGGTATATATTGTTCCGTACTAGTGGATAAGAAGTTATTGAAAGATATTAAACCACCTTGTGTCTTTTGAAGTTTCTCAAAATCTGTTTTGGATAGACCTTGTCCCCGGTAGACTATGAATGGTTTGTCGTGAAAAACATGAATTTGCTCTTGCTGTAGCTTTTGAAGTTGTTGATGAAGATCACGAATGAAAAAACCCATATTAATAATGGTTTCGTCTTCCATAGAGCGAAGAGCATAATTCAACATAGAATAGATAAATGATGGGCAAGTATACCACCAGATAGCTGTCTCAGCATCGTATTTTTTTTCAAATGTATCAATACTCTTTGTCGATCCGTAGCCATGATGTCGACAATAAGCAGTAAATTGTTTGATGGCCTGTGTATCATGTTCCATATCAAGAAGAATATCCTTGAATATCTGAGTGTACATAAATGTTGGCTCCAACTGATTTAATTTATCAGTTGAAGTCATTTCATTTAGTGTGATAAAACTCATAGAAATTGAGTCTTGATTTAACTGTTTGATACTCAATTCTAATCTTTGACATAGATCACCGATGCTTGTATGAACACTCTTGATTTTTTGCCATTTTTTCGTCCATTCTTCATCTAGGATTTCAACATTACTCAAGATATAAACACCATGCAGTTGAGGAATATCATTAATGAAGGGCATTATTTGTTGAGATATAGTATCCTTGATAACGAGAAAAAGCTTGATGTCTTCTTCGGAATCTGTAAGAAAGTCGATGCATGCATCTCGTTCTTCAAAGACATTAATATTGTGAGCAATAGTTTGGATTTGTTTCAACGTATTTTCATAATCTTTGTTTGTTTGATCCACACACTCATCTAACCAGAGAAGTGAATAGTTTCGAATAATCCGCCGTCTTGATTGAATAACAGTGGATGGTGTTACTGTTGTATTATTGTTATTCATGAACACGTTTGATGATGAGGAAGAAGCTTCCCGATTTAATCCTGAGCCACTCATTTGTTTCTTATCATAATCTGATATCGAAATATAAACTTGTTAATAATTGTTGTAATCTAAATCGTAAAAAACTCGTCGTTCTTATTTATAGTGATAATGATATCTTTTCACTGCTTTTCTTATTGAAACTCAAGTAGAAATTTTAACTAGACATCTTTTAAAGTGCTGCTGTAAAGAGTAAAAGACAGATCAATATAATCCAATTTCTGAACAACGTTTCTATAAGTTCTTATATATCAGCTAAATGATAGTAAAACAAAACCTTAACTATATAAACTCTCTCAATCTAAAGATGCGAAGATAAACGGGAAGAGAAAAAAAATTTGAGGATGGCGGAATAGAATAAACAAAATTTGTGAAGGTGAGAATAAGATGTGGAGGGTGGATGATTTATAATAACAAAGAAGAAATATGAGGGGAGTATGCAAGTAAAGATTAATAAAACGATTTCGTTACATAGTAAATATTTTCAACTTTATTTGTCTTATCTATGCAATTATTGCAATAAGTTAAAATGCCACATCAACACTTTATAATTGAAGTAAAATAGAAAAAGAAATATGATTCTATCAGTAAATGTTTATTCTCTTATCTATAAGTTGTTTTGTTATTAAATGGCTTTAAAGGATTTATTGAAACAAAAGGATTGAAGCGAAAAATGGGTGATTCTTTCTTTTAAACACCCTTACATCCTATGATTCTTCATTTCTTCTTCATATCAAATAATGAATTCATAATTTAATTTGATCACGAAAATCTGAATTTTTTAAGATAAATATATAATCAATTCGTTTCGATGGATTCAAATACATCAACTGTATAAATTATTAAATAAAGAAAGTATAACATTTATGATATTATCACTCATTTATTTAGTTTCATTTAATTGTTGTAAACCATTTAGTTCAATACCAAAAATGAGTTGTACCAAAATAAATTGACACATCGTTATTATCTTGATAGTGGAATAAAATTTCAAACAATACAAAATCTTAACAATAATCATCTTGTTGTAATGCAATAATATCAACTTCGAAACGTCTTATTGTTTTCAACAGTTTCTGTTAAATTGTAAACATGCTCAAGATTACTGCCCGATATTGAACTGATATTATAGATGGAATAAAAATAATTATAAACTATATCAATACAATATATTTCAAATCTTTCATAATATACTTTTTTCTGCCTTAGTATTTTAAAATACGAAAGGTTTTGATTATAGAAGCTATATATGTTAATAAAGCTACTTTTTATACATTCGAAATTTACATAAATAAGGTATTTTATTCACTATCTCTAGATATCCAATAAAATTGATTATTAATAAAAAAAATGACAAAATCATTGAATTTTTTAAAAACTGATCAAAAATAACTGAAATGATGATATGTGAGTCAATAGATTTCATTTACAGGTGAAAAATCAAATGAAACATATTGTTAAGGATGTGAATGTCTCTTCTTCATCAATCTCAGCACCTCCACCTCTATTTCGATTAGCTGATGATTTTGAAAATTTTATTTTACACATTGTTTGTAAGAATCAATAATTTCATGAATAACATCAATTTTCTTTTTTACTTTCCTTTCTTTGAATAAAAAAAGAAGTTAATCTCACATGATCGAATAAGAGTAGTACACAATGTCTTTTTTCCATTTTCTTAAGTAAAATCTATATCATCTTCTGCCAATTCAACTTCAATTTCCCATTTAGAACCAAAAAAATGAACACTTAAAATTTTCAATTTTGTTCCAACAGCTAGAAGTGCTTCTTTTTCATCCATAAATGTACTCCATTTCCATATATTTGCTATATTTATCTTTGCTTGTTCCCTACAAGTATCTGTTCTTAATATTAATACAGCATTACCAGAATAAATAAGTAAACGATCTATAGTAAACGATGTAAATGAATTTGTATAGTAATATTCATTTCTTCTGTCTAAATAATATTGAATTTCTCTATCACTCAATGATAAACCACGATAATAGACATGTTTAATATCACATTGATTTAAACCTCGTATCAATGAACGCAACTTATTAACATAAATCCAATCAACTTCATCTAAATTCGCACTTAATAAATTTAAATTTGTTTTCATATAACATTCATTTGATTGACTATTTGTATAAGATTTTAAAACATCTATCATATCATCGGTTAATTCATATTCATTGATTATAAGTGGAGATACTTGTTTAAAATATGAGTAATATGGATTTTTTATTAATATTTTACAATTGAGTGTATTGTTTTCATTATCATAATAATAATAATCTGTATCGAGATCTTTTGTTAAAGAAGCAAGAGTTTTTGGTAGATAAATGTTTGTTTTAGCATTTACAATACAATCCATTTTGTATTAAATTTATTGACAGTAACCAAAAAAAATGATCAAAATACAAACTATTATATAGTATTAAAATGTCGAAAAATAAGAACAAGAAAAATAAAAATATGACTCATTATTTTTCATCACGCAAAGTGAATAGATGAATCATTTTTTTACAATAACACATGACTGTCATATGCATAATTTTTCAATGAATCTAAGTTAACCAATAAATATTTTATGGACTTTTAAAGATCTGTTTTTTAAATTTAATCTCATTTTAACTTTACTTCTTAGATAATAAAAACTACTTTTAATAAATGTTTAAATTGAATATCATTATTTTTTGTAAGTAATCACACAAAACATGTCAAACTCTTCTTTGATTACCACTAACTTTCATTGCATTTGTAATTTGAACAAACATCATATAATATATAATATTTAATATAGAATCAACTTGTACAGTTAAAGTCATCATCTAAAACACGATCGCAACTTGATATGTGTTTATAAAAATAATAGGACAATCAGGAAACTATTAGTTTTATCTTTATCTGTTTATCTATACGTCTTCAGTTCTTTAATAAAATGGTTCTTAATTTTTGTATAGTTTTATTATATTTAACAAGATCAATTGTTAACAAAAAGCAATACTTTATAAGCAGGAATACGTTTGGCGAATATTTTTCTTAAGCTGACTTTACAGTAAAGCTATTAAAATGAAACGAAATAGTAAGCTGTTTTTTTTAGACGAAAATAAGTAGTATTAATTAATTGGCATGATAAATAACTTTCGCCCAAGTTGAATCAGTACTACATAGTGTGCTTCCGCACCTATATCCACCCACATCTGAAGTATGCCAACATAAGCGATACGCATCGTCACCAGTTGCCTGGTCACAAGTATTTCGTTTCACTGTACCACTACCATATACAAAACCCCATGAATATGAACTAGAAAAATACCATCCGACTCCATTAGCAACATGTGTACAAGTTGATGTTGAACCACAGTCGTAAAGAACATCAGCTCGATTACCCATCGCTGCTACGCTCAATTTCGTATTTGCGACTGGTCGACAGCCAAGTAATAATTTGTTTTTATTACATGCAGCTAATACTGTTGCAACAACAGTTGAAACCAGGGAATCTGCATACGTTCCATTGTAACACAGAGACCATCCACTTGATAGTGACAAGGGATCGAGATTGAGCTGAACACCGGACAGAGAGAGTTGAGCTTGAAATGAAAATAAATTTAATTAATATCAAATCAAATGAAATACACCAACAGACCTGTAGCAGCTGTTGTTGGTGATGTTGTTGTTGTTTTCGACGTTGTTGATGTTGATGTTGACGACGTTGTCGATGATGTAGTTGAGGATGATGGTATTGATGTTGATGTTGATGTTGAGGATGATGATGTTGTTATTGTTTTTGTTGTTGATATTGATGATGATGTTGTTGACATTTTTGTTTTCATTATAGTTGTTGTTTGTGCTATACGTTTTTTCGTTGTCGTTGAGGATGCAGTTTTGCTCTTCTTTCCATTTGGCATAGTTACATTGTGAAAAGATGCCTGCTTTATTTGCTCTTCCGTTAATTTAGCTCCTGACAAATCACTGTTTGAAAAATGTGCACCTGTCAGATCTGAGTTTCCAAAATCTGCACCTGACAGATTTACACCATTAAAACTAGCACAAAGTAAAGATGAACTATCGAATTTCGCGTTATTTAATCGCCCTCCATCAAATGATACACCATTCAAACTAACAGATGAAAACTCAGCATTTGACATTGATACTTGATCAAAAGAAACACATTGTAAATTCAACTTATTTAATACACCAGTTTCACTTGCTAGATGCACTTTATCAAAATTTAATTCATTCAAACGGATTATATCATCTAATTCTGTTGTTCTGCATCCATTACTACAATTATTTCTACCAATTAACTGTTCTTCTTTAAGAAATTGTATAATATCTCCTTTGCGTATTGTATCCCATTGACGATGAGCAGCACGATAATATGCATTCGCAAATGCCCATGGATTTTTTGAGTCATTGAGATAACCATCTTTATCTAATTTATAGATATTATTTAAGAATTCATCATAAAGTGTTTGTTGTCTTAAGTCTTTTGATTGTTCAAAGTCAAACTGTTGTTTTTTTTCAGCTTGTTGTTTTTGTTGTTGAGATCCAATTGCAGTATAAATAGCAAGAGCGATGGGTATAGCAACTGAAGATATGATACTTAAAATATCTTTAAGTGTAAAATGGCAAAACGCTCGTTTGTTAAAATCTACCATTATCTCAATCTTATTTTAGATTGAATAGTAAATTATTGTGATGTGTTCGAATATAAAGAAAACACAATTACTGCTAATACCTAATCACTCTCTCTCTCTCCCCCTCTCTTTGGCGTTTCTTTGTTATTTAACAACATATTAAGTAACAGTTTTAATTATATTTTCAAAGTCAAATGTTGCAAAAAAAAGAAATTAATAAGTAAGTATTCATTTCCAACACAACAATAACTAAAAAAAGAGTTTATTGTTACTTTCAGTTTACTAAACTTTGAACTTGATCTAAAATAACAAAAGTGTATAAATACCGGTAAACGACGATCGTTAGGATCGATGGAAGAAGAAAACTTGTACTGTTGATTTAAATATCGGGGACTTCTTCGTTTGTTTAAATACGATACAAAATCAAAGAACTTAATTAAATCTTCGAAATAATGGAAAATATATTTTAACATTAAACTGTGAAATGATCTGATCATATCCATTACAAATTTTCACAGAAAAGAAAGAAAAAGGATACTGTAAACTTGATGAATCATTCTTTTAATTAAATGCCATTTTCCACACGGGCAGTTCTCAACGGGTTTCTTTTTCTTTCAGATTTTTTACATGAAAAACCTTGATATGCATAGCTTATAGTGTGTGTGTGGATGTGGTTATCGATCTTCTCATAATCCACACCAACACTCACACCCAGGGGCGGCGTAGCGTCATTAACCTAAGTGAGGCTCACAATATTTTTTTCTACAATAAACTTTTATCAAAACGTGACGCAAAATATAAGTCTTCTCTTTATTAGGCCTCAATAAAAACTACAACGGTCATCGTGAAAATAAAACAAATCAGAACGTACCAAAAATAACTTTCCCGGTTCGTTCTTCGATGCGAAAGTTGAACAGAGACTTTTCTTTGTATATGTGTCAAAAAGAGAAATGGATGAATGTTTGGATGTTTTTCAGCCATTAAATACACTGTGAAGAGGGTATAAATCAATCTGATCACTACTGACCTACTTCCTTATTGCCGTAATAATATATATATATATATGTATATGTGTATATGCGCTTGCAAAAAAGCAAATGTTCTGGGAATAAAACATATATAAACGAAATGAGGAAAAATTAACCATGCGGACAAGAAACAATGTAAGAAAAGAGGAAAAATACTTGAGTATCATATAGACAATAGAAATATCCAAGTAAAAGAAAAGAAAAACATACAGGATATATATATATAAGCTGTATGTGATATCTATGCGAGAAAAGAATAGAAAAAGAAAAACATATAAAAAATAGGTGAACCGCATTAAAGGGTAGATATGTCAAAATATATATATAGTTATGTTAGATGCCGAACATAACAACTTCCAATAATAAAAGATAATACTCAATCCAAAAATGAGTGAGGCTGAGCCTCAAGGGCTGAAAACTAAGTGAGACTTAAGCCTCGTGAGCTTCCACGCTTCGCCGCCACTGTTCTCAATAGGAAAAATGATTCAAAAACGATGGATGAAATCACTTTTTAGTGTTATATGAAATGATATGATAATAGAAAAGAAGCAAATTATGAATAATCTTATGAATATTGTTTCTAGAGAAATTACTATTTCTTATTAAAAGCATAATACCATTTGAAATATTAATTTAAATTGTTACTTAAATAATAAAACTAATTCATGAAAAAGTTTTATCTCAATTTTAAAAATGATAAAATTATTTTTTATTTAATGAAACATATTTTGATTTATTTGAGATTGAGTTGATATTTGATTTGTTGTTATTGGATTCTTTGGTATAGTTGCTGTACTAATTGTAGGATGGTTTGATTGAGAAGAATCTTAATAAAGAGAAAATATAATCATTTCATTTGACAATACTAAAGAATATTAATAAAATATTTTTGTGGGGTGTGGGCGTGGATGCGAATGTGTATGATAAGGAAAAGCAACAGCCACAACCTCAAGAAAGAGCAGAATCCGGTCATTTTGGATTCCAAAAACACGTCCCGGATAATCTTGAGGATTGGTCCGGATTTTATAAAACCATTTTGAATTCCAGGATTGTGCTCTTTTTCCCTTGCCACACCCACACCCACACTCTCAAGATGGTTACTATGAGATTATATTTCTTAATTTTTGTATAGTTTTATCATATTTAATAAGATCAATTGTTAACAAAAAGTAATACTTTATAAGCAGAAATACGTTTGACGAACATTTTTCCTAAGTTGACTCTACAGTAAAGCTATTAAAATGAAACGAAATAATAAGCTGTTTTTCCAGACGAAAATAATTAGTATTATTTAATTGGTATGGTAAATAACCTTCTCCTAAGTTAAGTCATCAGATTCAATGTCAAGAGAGTGCCGTGTTACTGTATCGCCACCATATACAAAACCCCATAAATATGAATCAGAAAAATACCATCCAGTTCCATCAGCAACATATGCGCAATTTTTTGTTAAACTACAGTTGTGTGTGAAGGTGAGTTTGGATGTGAGTAAAGATTAGAGATACCCACACCCACCCTCCAGACGATATCTTCATTTGTTTTGGTATAAAATTACTGATTTCGAATATTTTTATTTTGTGATATAATTGAAAATGATCGTATCAGATCAAAAATTTCTATTATTTAATTAAAAAGTATACATTTCATTCTTTCCTCTTTCTCATCATCGTAAATTAAATCGATCAAATGCGTTTTCCTGACATTGTCATCATTCGATAAAAAATAAATGTAGAATTTCAAATCGTACAATCACTTTTCTATTGATCAAAATGATTCGAATAAGATTTCTCGATTTTATATATCATGAATCATTCTTTTTCGTCTACCAATTTTCTTGACTTCGTAACATGATGATTAATTTCTTCATATACAGTATCTGACGTTTGTTAAATAAGAGAAGGAAAAGAAATGAAGAATAATATTTAATTTTTTTCGGAAGAAATAACTAAAGAATCATTTGATACAAAGAATAACGAACAACGACACATACAGATTATAATTTACTTCCTTTTTTT